AATATACCCTTATAGGATGGACAGTCCAGTGAGAATGCCTTAGAGAACAGCAGCTAGTCCAGAATAGCAAAAAAGAGGGATTTCCCGTGGAGAAGCTGCATTTCCCTATTAGAAAATGCTTAATTGCTGCATATATTAGTTCATAAGCTAATAAACTTTTTGCTAAGATGTCTGGGACTTTAGCACAACAGCTTCTATCTGTTAGCCAGCCTGCTTTCATCTATGATGCTTCTGTGAGATCTGATCTCTACTTTGAAGAGCACATTAAAATAAACCAGGTGATGTGCTCAGAAGCTGCACTGATACATTCATCAGCTCCAAACAGAAGAAGAATCTGGGCCAGTAGTATCACGGAGGCTGAATTGTGTTAGTTTCCTAAGGACCCCTGGCATTAATGGAGTTGGTGAGTCTCAATGTCTGTAAGATACAGGCATCCAAAAGACAGCCTGGGTTTAATCACCTTTCAAAGAGAATACAAAATATTTTTTGTTTTGGGATGTGTTAGTGTTCCAATTCTTTGAAAGAAACTTGATATTTTTTGGCTTTCCTGGAAGTAGGGATCACTGGTGGTGAGGTCTGCCACAAGTCCTTAGCTAGTTCTGACAAGTCTAGCATATGCCTAATGTCTGTCCTCCAACTCTCCTTCCTCCCCACCCCCAGATTCTTAGCTGGACACCTCACCTCCACTTTGGCCTACCGCACCCAGCAAGGGCAGGCAGGGCTGCTTATGATAGCTACAGGCTTCTGCTCCCTCACTGACTCCAGCTAGTAACCCCAGCTGTGCCTCCATACAAGCACAAAGCTCAGATGCAGAACTATAGACTTCAGAGACAAACGGAGAGCAGTTGGTTCTGCTCCGTTTCGTAAGTGCTCTGCTGCCTTCTGGTGGTTCAAGCTGTAAGGAGGTGTAGTTTGCTGTGTTAGTCTGAAGTCAAGTGCAAAGGAGGGGAGGCTGTAGCCTGTTCTAGTACGTTTGGGGGGTTTTGGTAGAGATGCACCAATACATAGGTCCATATCATATTGACATCAATAAAAAGGAAAATTGACATTATCAGCAATAGGCTTTTCTGGCTGATGTGGCTGATAATGTTGCCAATAAATGCCACATGCATGTGTGAAGCTGCAGCATGCATGTGGCAAGGAATGCAGCTGGGCGGCTTGGAGAGCAGCCTCTGGCCAGGAAGTCTGTGGGGGCGGGAAGGGGCACGGGAGGGAGGAGCGTGATGGGGGTATATCAAGGCCTCTGCAGTGAGGGAGGGAGTGGGGCTGGAGCTGGGGCAGGGAAGGATGAGGCACAAGATGGAGCCAGCGGCTCATGCGGGGGGGACACAGAGATGGGAGGGGAGCTCCTGCCGCTGTGTGCACCCCTGGGGGAGGCATGGGGGGCACATGCCCCCTGGATCTGTGCACGGGGCAAGGGTGGGTTGTCGCTGTGAGCCCGCAGACTGCGCTGGGCTTTTCCTGGTGGCTGCACTTGGGCTGGGTTGGGCAAGTTCCTCTGGGTTAGCTCTGGAATGTCCTTTTTTTAGTATGAAATGGGTGCATCTACATGAAACACAGTGGAGCTGCCTAATTAGCTCCACAATAAAATGTCACCATCTGCACAAGTGGTGTTATTAGGCCAGAGTAAACTAATTAACAAACTAATTAACTACATCTTAGGACAGTACTGCCCAACTTACTCTGCCACAACACACATGTAAATGGTGACCAGGGCTGACTGGGACACAGGGTGACAGTGCAGTGGCTGCCTGCTGGCTAGCCCCACGCTGTACCCTTATGCCCCAGCCAGTCCCTTTGTAGCACACTGAGCAAGGCAGGAACAGCCCCAGCCAGGCACCCTGGACCCTTTGCCAGCCAGGGCAAGCCACCCTGATTCAACGTGCTGCAGTCCTGGGCCCACATGTAAACACCGATCCTGGGAGTAATAAAATCTGGCATGAACTGCGCCAGAGTTTATTGTGTTTAATTAATTTCACATGTAGATGCACCCAATGATGCCCTAGATAGTCAAATATTTTAGTCTTTAGTATATCTTGTTATGTGTAACAGTGCCTGAAACAAGGCCCTGCTTTCTTTGCTGGTTTGTAGCTAGTTCTGCCAGCAAATCCTCATGATACACACACACACACACACACACACACACACTAGCCAATTGTCCGTCAAGAATGACAGGGGGTGGGGGGGAGGGGCTGGGATGGAGTGCCACTACCCCATGCTGCCGCTGTTCTGCCTCTTAGCTTCCCCCTCCCCGCCCCCATCTGGTCCTCAGCGTGGCTTTGGAATCATGGCGACGCTCCCCTATGCTTGGAGCACTCTTATTTGCTGTTTCTGTCAGCCAATCATCATTCAAATAAAGTGTTCCAGACAGACAGACTTAGGCTTTTATAATATTAGAGTACACCCCCCCCCTCTTTCAATAGCTGACAGAGTAGCTGTTACTTGGACAGCTACAAGTGGACAAGTGAAGTGTTAGTCACAGCTTCCCTTGCATATGTACAGCAAGTAGTCAGATTACACTTCCCCAAAGTAAAAAGCTTGAACTCTTGTTTATAAAGGTGTAACTCTAAGTTGTTTTCATGAAGACAAATTACCAATCCATGCAGTTCTCGCTGGAAAGAGGCTCTTCTTTTTCCTGGGTGAGAAATGATCAGATATTCTGCAGGAACACACATTTTTTCTGTTTTCAAGACAGACAACAAACTTCCCACCTGCCAGTCCCGAAGGGGGAAAGACATAGAAATGGGAAAATAAAGTACAGTTCTTTCCTCTTTGAAAAGATCACTTTTGGCAAAAAGGTTTATATTAAAATGCAGAATCTAAAGATCAATACCCTCACAAAAAATATAATTTAAAATATATAAGTATTTGCTGAATGATCTACAGTATACTTTCAACTCTCAATCCTAAAAGTTTAGGTACTAAACAACTGTCTTCCCTCTGATAGGAATATTCTGTGGAATATAAAAACATCACTCCCAGCTCTTTAAAACAGGAAAATCTTCCACCCTTCTCCAAACACCACTTAGGTCACAACATTCTGGTGTTGCATAGCGATCACACCGTTTCATTCTCTCCAGTTTCCAGTATATCACAGTTGCTCAAACAACCTCATTTGAATGCCAGCAGCACCCCATTAAATCATGTGATTATGCTACATTTAAGAGGCCCAACTTACTCAGTTTTGGTAATTTTTTGTATTAAAAAAGGCTGAATTAATTCACATCTGTTAAAAAAAATGTAGTACGTAGGAGGCATAAAGATCTTGGCTGATGTTCAGTATTTACCTCAGTTATGCTGCCCACCCACCAATGAAAAGAGGTTTCAAATAAGAAAAATAGTAAGTTAGAAGAGAAAATGGGAA